TTCCCCCCCCCAAGATCTTAAAAAACAAACAAACAAGCAAGCAAGCAAACAAACAAACAAACAAACACATACACCAGGAGGGTTAGTGGGACAAGCTACAATCCCCACTGCTATGGTTGGTTCTAAGGCTGCAACTGAGATGCTTCCTTTCCTCCTCTACCATCCCCTTACTCTCAAGCAGCACTAGATGCTGGTCTACATGGCTTGCCTGGTGGGTAACCTGGACAGATCCTCATTCCCAAGGAGCCTGAGCCCTTTTCCGGCTGTGGTGGCCGCAGTTGCCCATTTGTGGATAGTTTATCACTGGGCACGGAGCACCAAGAGGCACCATGAATTCCCTGGCATGCAGATATGTTCAGCCTACTCCTACTATGTAGCAGCAACCTTATCTCCTCATGAAAATCAGGTTTGAGTACCCCTGCCAGGATAATCACTCCACTGCAAGTGTGTGAGACAGGAGGAGCCAGGCACAATTGCTAAGTATGGAGGACTCTACTATGTGGACCGATGTAGACTCTATGCAACCTTTTGCCTCAGCTCCCCCTGCCAACGGAGTGGTCATCTCCATATTTTCCCATTTAAATTCCTGAGAATGAAAAATTAATAATCCCTGGTTTTCTGGCCAGGTCCTCTCATAGGCCACAGCCTTGAGTCAATTGCCCAGTCAGCTGAGGTCAGAGGAGTTGGGGGGGGGTCCCATAATACAATTTTGGGGGTCTAGGGCTGCCTCATCAGCAGCAGTCCACTCCCCTCAAAAGAGGCTGTAGTTGTGGCTGGCACAATGTTGACATTTGGTAAAGGAGCTGTAGTCCTAAGGGACAGCTTTTTCACAAGCCCTCCTAGTCATGTGGTTAGTTCACAATTAGTAACTTACAGCCTTCTGAACCATTTCCTAATTTGTACAATAAGTGGGTTGGGCTAAGACCCCTTCGAGCTCCAAAATGCCTGATAACTGCCCCTTCCCTCAAACTTTTGTACATAAACTATTGTTAAGCCAGACTCCCTCCATCACATGTTTCTGTAATTTGTTTGAACCCAAAATTTCATTTTTCAATAAATGCTAGCTGTTATTTTGTATCTTTATTACATTGCATTCTGTGGTTTGGAGTCATCATTTTGCCTTGCCTCACTGTTTGACTCTTGAATTTCCCTTTTGGTATATTTGCTTTTCTTTATAGCTCTGTGCCATCAGCATCTATGAATGTGCTTTCTGTGTCACCATCCAAAACAGGACCAAGGGGTGGCCTGCAGCAAGTCACTGGAGACCTACTTTTTGGCTTCAGTGATCAGAGCTGCAAATCCCCGATAGTGCTGTGAGATGGCTCAAGTTCTCCCTCCTGACTCTGAAGCTATTGACAGATTTTTAAAGATGCTTTTGCTAAAATTCCTATTATATCTCCAGCAAACACATTATTGATTGATGTCAGACTTTGCCTAAGCCATCCTATATTTTAGAAAGGAAATTGTGACATTCCCAAAGTTACATTCTGTGGCAGGGCTGGCTTCTATATTCATAATATCATGTTCTTTCCATGACATCATATTTCCTCCACAGTTTGAGAAACTCACCTATTGTTGCTGTAACACATTACCAGAAATTTACTGGCTTAAAAAGCACAAATTTCTCATCTTCCAGTTCTGTTGATCAGAAGTCTGACACAGGTCTCACTAAAGTCAAGGTGTGAGCAGGGCTTGTTCCTTTCTGGAGGCTCTTGGGGAGAATCCGTTTATCCCAGGTGGCCTCTAGAAGCCTTTTCGAGCTTCAAGAAGCTACCTGCATTCCTTGGCTCATGGTTTCTTCCTCCACCTTCAAAGCCAGCAACTTGGGTGGAGTCCTCATGTTGCATCTCTCTGACCCTCCTTTCATGGTCCAGTCTCTTTCTTCCCATGGTCCCAAAAGTTGTTCCCTTTCAAGGACTCGTGGGATTAGATTGGGCCTACCAGGATAAAACTCCCCGTCTAAAGGTCCTTCACTTAATCACATGTACCTTTTTGTTAGGTAAAGTAACATATTCACAGGTCCTGGGGATTGGAGTGTGTACATTCCAGGGAGGCCATTATTCTGCCTACCATGCCCTATCTGTAGATTTGGGCCTCCTGGAGCCAGTGGGTTAATAAAGACAGCTATAACCTGACTTTCAGGGTCTCAGGAGACTTCCTTGACTTCCTGATGTTGGCTGGACTTCACCAAAGTTTATCCAGGTGAGCCCCTTTCCACACAGCAAATTCTTTTTGGATGCCCTCATGTTGGGCTCCCTCCTCTTGTCACCTTAACAACCTACTCCCTGTAATAGGCAGCAGAGGTCAGGAGAAGGCAAGAAATGGGCTTTGGTATTTGTCCTCTGGGACCACAGACGATATTACGGTCCTAGAAAAGCTGTACAGCACTGGCGCCTCAGCTCTTAAAAGCCCAGGTGTTTCTGACATTTGGGCAGGTGAGGTGCAGTGCGTAGTTACAGGTGTCCTTCCTGATGTTGTTTTGAAAGATAATATGAGTGTCAATATTGCAGACTCCATGTGACACACATGGGGAAGAAGGATCCTGCTCTCATCCCTATTTGTAAACAAGATGGTCTAGGATGGAAGGGAATGTGGGCTGTCATAAGGAGATGTGTAACCATCGCCAAAAGAGCTAAAGAGGAGAGGAATACAGGCCAAGCCTGCCTAAGACAGGCCATGGTGCGTGTGCAGTTTGGTTCATCCCAGGTCCCTCCCTCTGAAGCCTCTCCAAGGGTCAAGTTAGATAGCATGCCCACTGATACTTTGTTGAGCACATACCGGAAGCTGGGTTTTGGCATTTTACCTGGCATCCAAACCATGTTCGCTTGTGTTTGGTTTTGAAAACTGGGACATTATCTACAGTTTATAGCATTCCTACAAGTCTTCCTGCAACTGACTGACACACATGCTGCCCTGTACACCATAGGCGTAAGTACCCAGACTGCCCCCACCCACCCCTGCCACAGCTGCACTGTATCCTCCCACTCACTTTCACAGGCCCCTGAGGTCCCCAGGGAGTCACCGACACACAGTACTGTCTGTTATCTGGGGGAGGCCCTGACAGGCTGCCTGGGGGAGGGGCCTGGGTTGTTGGAAACTTTAATCAAGCAGAGCCGGTTAACAGCTGCAGAGACACCTTAGGAAACACTGAGCCTCACAAAGGAAATATTTGCAGAATCTGTCCCCATGGCCTTTTAAGACTTTTCTGAAAATGGCCCGTCATCCCTTGCCATGGAACAAAATAACAGCTATCACAGGCACGCTTTAGCCCACAGAAGCCTTTGTGATTAATCCCCTGAGCAGGCTTTGACACAGATGCTCACCTCACACAGACACCCCCAAGAGACTGCGAAGACCTGGGGATACACACACACACACACCCTGCCTCTCCCTGAGACACAGTGGGCACTTTTTCTGAGGCAGGCTGGGTAACATGTTGGGGAGAGCCCTCGACAGACCCATGGGCCCATCACAGCGCCTTCCACACACCACTAATCAAATACTACAAGCTGTTAGCATGTGGTGAGGACCTCTTCCCCTTCCTTTCCCCTCCCCACACCTGCAGGGGATGCTTTTGAGGGGGCGGATGTCACCCACTGGGGGTGGGTTTTTCTTACCTCCATACTTTGTCTTGACCCAGCTTCTTCCCACCCCCAGAAGTAGATCCTTTTGGGGTCACATCATGGTAAAAGGAGCATCAGGGAACACCTCTGAATTACGGCTCAGCAGGCTCCTTCTTCCCCTGGTTCCCCTCTTTCATCATGCAGGCTTTCATCAGCGATGAGGGCCTCTCAGCCCCTGGTCTTCCCCCATAAATTCCCCTTTCCTTAGAGCTGGGTGTAAAGGGACAATGTAGGGATTTTTTTTTTTTTTAAGGAAGAACTTCACTGGAAATTAAGAAAGAAACAAAAACCAAAACAAGAAAATACTAAAACCTCAGCTGACCCGGAGTGTGTACTCTCAGCACCCAACCCTGCTTTGTTTCTTTGCCTCCCCTCATCTAAGCGCTGCAGCCCTTCTTCATCCCTATGCTTGCCTGCTCCCTGACCACCCCCTCCCCACCAAGGGTTCATGAGCAGTCAGTGCTGCAGGCTTTTCCAGACGTGCACAAGTTGGGGTTGCCCTCATCCTCACCCCCAGCACAGGCCTATCCCAGAGCCTCTGCCTCCTGGACTCAGCTTGCTGGGTCCAGCTCAGATGCTGGGACACGGGGGACGCCATGAGTCCAGCAGGGGGCAGGATGGGACCAGAAAGAGGCTGACTGGCCACAGGTGTGATGGATGGGTAGGGCAACAAAGGTGGAAGAGGCCAGGGAAAGGCTGTGAAGAGGAGTCTGGGGGCGTTTACAGAGAAGAAACAGTGTGGTCCCAGATCCTCTGCACCCTCCAAAGGCTGTGGTTCCCAGGGACAGCTTTGGTGTGAGACCCTCCCTGTGTGTGGGATCCTCCACAGCTCTGTGTGACTACAGCAGGAGGGGAGCTGGCTCCAAACTGATGGGGAGATGGGCCCACAAAATCAGGGACCCTTTTCTGGGAACCCATACCTGCTGGGAACCCCAGGATGATGAGGAGCTAGGGCTCCATACTAGAACCCCCCAGTCTGGTGGGGGGATGAAGCCCCACCCTAGAGCAATGACTGGGGAGATCCTCTGGGGTTATCTGGGCACAAAAGAGCTCTGACTACACAGGGAAAGCCTGTGGACAAGGTAGCCAGGAGAGGAGGCACAGGGCAAATCAGGGGAGATGATCAGGAGCCTGACACTGCCAAAGTGAGTCTGGGGTAATGAAGGTGGAGAACAGGCAGAACACAGGGACAGGCCTGAGTAGCAGTCCTACTCAGTAGGACTGACCAACACCCCCTCCGTCCCCCCGCCGCAGCCCCAACCCCCATGCTCTGGACCTCAGTTTCCTCTCCTCTGCCACTCTGGCCAGTGCTCAGGGATATGATTCACTTCACTGAATCCATCTGTCTGAGATTTGCTCAGACCTTCCTCTTTTGTAACTGGAAGTCACAGGGTAAAACACTAAGCGAAACATTCACAGAGGGGACATAGAGCCTAAGAGTGTGAAAGGACAGAAGTGAGAGTGGCAAGGGAAGCTTGGTGCCAGTGGAAGAGGGAGAGACGGGTGAGGCAGAGGTGCCCAGGACCATGGCTGAGGCTGTCACCTATGCAGACCTGCGGTTTGTGAAGGCTCCCCTTAAGAAGAGCATCTCCAGCCAGTTAGGACAGGGTAAGGGGTGGCTGAGTATCTCCTTGACTCTGCATCCCCATCTTCCTTCATGACCCCACCCCACCGCACAGACCCTCATTCCTGACCCCCATCTTGGTCCCTTTTCTCTCTTTTCCAGTTTCAGAGGCTGATGAGGATGGGGAACTCACCTATGAGAATGTGCAAGTGCCCTCAATCTCCGGGGGAGCCTTGAGCTTGGCTTCCTCTGGACTAGGGGACAAAACCGGTATGAAGAGCTGGGGGGGGGTGTTTGTGTGGGGGTGTGTATCTTGAGCTGGTGAGTCCACAGTATTCTTGGGAAGACAACACCCTCGGGAAAAGGAGGGGGATTCTTAGGGAAGAGAAGAATGAGCACTGGATAAATGGCAGCCAGGGGGAAGGATAAGGCTCCCAGGGTCAAGGTGGAGATCCCAGTGGGGAGGCAGGGATAGGAGAGAAATCGGGCAGCCCCGTGGGGAGATGAGTTCGAATGGGAAATAGCAAGTCACAGGAGGGGTAAGAGAGGGTAGGGAAGGGATGAGAGAGCTCCCAAGAGAGGGTTTGGGACAGGCAGAGAGGGGCCCTGCGGAAAAGATAGAGGGAGACCCAAAAGGGCGAGGCGTGGTCCCTGGGGAACAGATAGGTAAGATCCAGGAGGGACACGAGAGAGTCCCAGGAGAGCTGAGGAACTCCAGAAGTGCTAAGGATGAGCCGGAGCAGCTGCGTAAGGCAACGGGGACACTGGGGTCTCAACGCGGCGGAGGGGTGTGAGGGGTGGGGAAAGGGGCATTCCCGGGGCTTCCCATCTTCTAATTGGACTTCGCTCGCCTTGCGCAGGGGTCCATTCGGAGCTGCCAACAGCGTCCTGGAGCTCCGTGACGTCACCGGCTGCTAGGCGGCTTCTGGAGTGTGAGTACCTAGCCCTGCCCGCCGCGCGCGCCTCCAGCGGGGGGTTTCGCGCACGTCCGCGGCCTCACGCACCTTGCCAACCCCGCAAAGCCCGGCGGGGAAGGGCGCGAAGTGACGTGCTGGCGTTGGGCGCGGGTGGTGCTGGGTCCTGCCGTGTGCAGGTCTGATTCCCGGACGTGAGCCATAGTTTCCCGGACCGTTTGGGCAGCTCCGCGACCCCCCTCACCTGCCCCTTTTACCCCCATCTTTCTGATGTGTCGTCCCCAGAGCCTCTCCTCCTCTCCCCGCTTACAATGGTCCTCATTCATATATCCCCTGCCGCTGTCTGGGTCTGAGATTTAGAGCCTCCTCACCAGAAACAACCTCCAGCCCTTATTCTGGAACGCTTTCCCTCCGCTACCTGCGGAAACGCACTGCCCCACAAAAGCCACCAGGCCTGCACCACGTCCTCTGAGGGAGGCTGTTTCCCATGAATCTTCCCACCCACCCCTCAGTATATAACCTCTTTCCTGGGGCTCACTGCCCCCCATCCCATTGTCTCCCTAAGGCCCCTCAGCCTGCTCCAAATACCTCCTTCTGGGCCTGCTCCTCACCGGCCTGCTGTTGGGCATGGTTGCCATCTCTCTGGGAGTACGCTGTGAGTATGACTGCCCCCGCTCCATTTCCCACTTACCCCAAACAACTTTCTCCCCTACTCTCCCCAGTAGCTGCCCTTCCTCAGCAGGGTCTGGAGTCACCAACACCACATCCTTAGCTTTTGGTCTGGTTCCCAGCCAGCTCTGTTTTAGAGCACTGTGTCTTCATAAATTGTCCTCACCTAATTCAGTACCTCCTTAAGCTTGAGGCCGTCAGATCTTATATTTCAGCCCCGTGTGCAAAAAGTTGCAAGAAGCAAAAAGGGCTGACACTGAAGTCTCAGGGAACCAGGGCACAGCTGAAGAAGATGCCCTCCAAATCTCTCTTTATGGCCAAACAGATCTGCAGGTGTCCCAGCAGCTCCAGCACACAAACAGGGTTCTGGAAGCCACTAACAGCAGCCTGAGGCAGCAGCTCCACCAAAGGATCACCCAGATAGGGCAGAGGGAACAGGATCTGCAGGGGTCCAGGAGGGAGCTGGCCCAGATTCAGGAGGCACTACAGGTGGAAAGGAGGGATTGCCAGGCTGTCAAAGAGAAGTTACAGGCCTGCCAGTCTGACAGGGAGAAGGCCCAGGAGAACTTGCAAAGAGAGGAGGAACAGAGGAGAACCTTGGAGCAGAGGCTGAACCGCATGCAGGACACACTGAAGCCCTTCTTCACATGCCCCTCACCAGGTATCTGCTCTGGGAGAGGAGAGATGGGAGGGTCTGCTGTGAGGGATGAATTGAAGCAAGGAGACACTCGTGGCAGGGTGCAGGGGTCTGTCTAGCGGGGGGTGGGGGGTGGGCATTGAGTTGTTCAGGAAAGGATAGTGCACATAAGCTGTGCAGCCTTAGCCAGCAAGGAGAAGGATCAAGCTGCATACTGGATTTAGGGGGACTCACCCAGCTTTAAGGCAGATCCTGTGGGGGAGAGGAGGGTAGCAGCCAGCAATGCAAGTCAATTGTCCAAAGCAGCAAACTCAGGTCTCATCTGGCTGACATCAATGTCGAGGATCCAGGAATCCCCTGAAGTGGGATGTGAAATTGGTTGTTTGCACATTTTTCTGAAGAGAGGGTCTATAGCTTTAATTAGATTTCACTACATCTGAGATTCCCCAAAAGGTTAAAAATTACTGACTGACAAGGTGCAGTCTGGTGGTGGGGCAAGGCAGCTGAAGCTCTCAAGCGTGGGTGACACAATGAGGTGGGTGGGGGTAATGTGGGGTAGGGAACGGGCATGGAGTGTTCATCCAGCCAGTGTGTGGGGATGAGGGAGGGGGACACCTAAGAGGGGAAGGGCTGTGCTGAATGAAGTAGGCTGAGGTTTGAGGCAAAGTGCCCAGTCCAAGGGGACTGGAATGTTCATGAACTGGTTATCTGTGGTCGAGGGTAGGCTCAGTCTAGCTCAGAGGGCATCTGGATTCTCCTCCAAGGTTTAAGACAGCGAGATTATGTGTAATCTCTGTCTTTTTAACCTTCTTAGTCTCTATGATCCTCAGTTCCATGCCAGTACTGCCCCATTCCCACAGCTGCACCCTAGACCTCAGCATCCCAAACTGTTCTTCTGCTGAAAGGTTGTTTTCAGACCTCCATCGTGACCACAATGCCCGCCTCTCCAGGCTTTCCCTACACTTCTTCTCCAACCTCATTGAGGCCTCCAACCCACTGACTCCCATTTCTTCCTTCCCATCAGCTGTCACCTGTCTTCACTTCTCTCTCTACCCATCTTGCATTCCGGGTGCATCACTTCAACCACTCACTCCTTTGTTCCATTGTCCCTGTGGTGCACCTGACTGGCAATCTCTGAACTCTGGATGAACTTAACTGCCCACCTTGTCCATGCCTGTACCCAGGTGAGACTAATGGTGTAATCTTTCTGCTTGGTGCCACTGAAACTCTAGTTTCACCTCAGCTGGGGCCACCGTGCTGCCTGACACCTCTGCAGTGGTTGCCTTGCTCTCCATAATAACTCCCTACCCTACTACCCTCTCTCTCACTTTCAGCAGATGCCCTACTGTCAGAGAGCAATTCCCTTCATTTTCCACCACCAAGTCTATATATCCATTTGCTTTTTTGCCCACCCCCATCTCTTGTAAGGATAACTGCAACAGCTTGCTGAATGTTTTCCCTAAACATCCCCCTGCACCCCCGTTCCACTCTTTGTACTGCAGTCAGGGTAATACTTTAAAAACAAAAATCTGATGTCATTTCAGTTAGTAAATCAAACGTTATGGAATACGTACTATATGTCCAGCACTGTACCCAGGCACTTGTGATATAGTAAGTGAACAAAATTTCTCTACGTAAAACCCTACATTGACTTTCTCTTTTTTGTAATATAAAAATAAAAAATTCTTTACGCGGCCTCCAAGGCCCCTGCCTACCTCGCAAGCATGTCACTTTCCCCTCACCCTCTTCTATCTGGCCACACCGACTTTTTTCCCCCCCCTTTAAGTTGACATAGGACAGTAATTCAAGAGGGTAGCTGGGTGGGCACGTGAGAAAATGTAGATAGAAAGAGAGGGAGCTAGTGGAGAAGGAATGATTTTTGAGTGACGGAGGTAAGACATGGAACAAGCAGTGGAGAGAGGTGGGTTGGGGTCAGGACTACAGATTGAGGTGTGGGATGTTAAAGAGGAATGTTTATTTCTTATAGTTGGTCGGAAAAAAGGAACAGAGAAGGGACAAATTTTGTGGTGCAGAGGAGGGAAATGGGGATAGTTCACATCAAGTGGCAATTTCAGCAAAACAGGAACTAAGGTTGTCTACTTGTGGAAGAGTGGAGAGGGAAGGAGGTGGCTAGAAGCTCGAATATGCAGTGGGGAATGCTTTAGGGAGCTAATGAGATGAATGAGAGGCCAATAGAACGCTTATGGGGCCCCAGGTGAGCTTAGCCAAAATGGGGGGGGGTGTGGACTGTGATCATTCAGAAATTGGGAATAGTGTCACCAGCCCTATTAAAATAACCCTCCCAGATTGTTAAGGAATAAAGTTGTTGGATGTTCAAGGCTTTTACTAAGTATATTCCAGAAAGATTGCAAAGATCAAGGACTAGAAGTCAATGAAGGTGCTGAGATCAGACTTGGGGAACATTGTTAGCACTACAATAGATTGCTGAGCGGTTACTTTCATCCTGAGTGTTGAGATCTCCCTCCTGGGTCTGGGCTGTGCTGTCACATTCTTTCTGTTTTTTCAGACACCTGTTGTCCCGTGGGATGGATACTGAATGAGAGGAGTTGCTTTTACGTCTCACTTACTAAGAGAACTTGGGAGAACAGCCAAGACTATTGTAAATCTCTGTCCTCCAACCTGGCCACGGTCAGGGACGTTTCTTATTCAGTAAGCATACCCTATTCACAAACTGTAGTGGGTACTGTTAGGTAAAGTCGGGAATGGCACCGCACACACGGCATGCATGCTGTGGCGTGCCTTCCTTTTCTATGCAGCTTCTCAGCAGGACTCCAGGCAGCCCCTACTAATTGATTAGAGCTGGCATACGAGTTGACTTATGAACCATCTTTACTTTTACCTGTTTCTCCTCTCAGTTTTCCGGGCTGCCTAATGGATTCTTTGACTGTCATGGTCTCTCAGGGAGAGGCCTCATACTTGGTGGGCTGGATTGTAGGGATTGATTCTGTGACTATAGCAGATCATGGAATGACTCCCCTTCAAAGGCTGGCATTTCTTATCCAGCTGGGAGGCGAACTGCAGGTGAGCCTGCATATGCAGGTTGGCACTTAAAAGATGCAAGGATAGTCACCAATGAGCTGATGTCATGCACCAAGGATGGGGACAGTCTTCCTGTCAAAGTTCCCAGGTCTCCCTAGAGTATTCATTCTCTTCCATCAGCCCAGGTCCCCTTACCACATCCCCTCCCCTCATTCTACTGTTTTCCGTCACTCTCCACACACCTCTGGTCTCTCTGAATCTCCCCTCAGGGCTATTATAATTATTATAGCAGCAGCTTAACTAATATGTTGGAAAAAAATGGCTGGACTGATTCATATTGGATTACCTTCAATGCTAAGGAGTGGCATTTGACTGAAAGTACAAAAATCTCTAGGTAAGTCTGTTAGGACTTTTGAACATTTTCAACTTCATACTCCCTTCATAGAGTATTGAGATTTCCCGCCAGGTCTCATTCCTAAAACTCACAAATCAATACTGTAATTGCCTATTTGTCCATTTTCTCTATTTGATTAATAATTCTTTAGGATATTCTTATTCTCTAGTCTGTCCCCAGTACCTAGCAGTTCCTGGCACATGCTTTAAAAAAAAAATCACTAGGTTAGAACCTATGCCATCTTTCTCTCAGAGGGAGAAGCTGAGGATTTTGCGAGGGCTTCACAGCTGAAGAACCCTGGCATTCTCACTTCCTGTCTGCCCCTTGGCAAGTCCACCCAAGCTAAGGCGGTACTTTCTTAGTCGGGGCCTCTTGGGGCAGTAGAGCTGCCTCAGGGACATGAGTAAGGGAACAGTGGGTAACTTTGAGAATCAACCCCAGGGGCCCTGAAATAAGGTAGTCACCTCCTATGTTCCCTAACTGGTTCAAGACCTTGGGAGATTTTTCCTTCCCCTTGTTCTAAAGCTTCTTAGGGTTGGAGTCCAGACATGTCCCTGAACCATGCCCAAACGTGGCCACAGGCAGGCAGGGTGTTAGGACTTCGGCTAGGTTTTATGCAGGGAGGGGGAGGAGAGAAGGAAAGGGAGGGGGCCAGAGTTTATCCTGGTTCTCACAACTCTAGACTTTTCGTTCAAAACCCAAGATGTCTCAAGGTACAAACCACCTGGAGAAAAAAAAGAGAGCTGCAGTGGGAGTCAGACTGTTCTTTTCATCTTTCCTGCATCTGTGAGATGGCAGCGTTCAAGTATCCAGATGGGGACCACTCTGCACTGAGCAGGGTAAGTGTGAGGGATGGGACTGAGGCATGGGAATCTGGTGGGGAGAGGGGACTCAGAAGTCAGGGGAAAACTTGTTCCTGGGAGTGACAGTCATACCCACAGCCTTCAGGGCCCTGGTCTGCTTATGTAAGGGGGCATTGCACAGGAAGGCCTGGAACTGAACGGGGCCTGGTGATGTGGCTGTCCAGGGAGCTGGATGAGGGTTCCTAGTGACAGTCAACTGTGGAGTTCACTGATGCTTTACTCTTCCAGATACTCATGCCAACGAGAGCCCGTGCCCCTCATCCTTAACCTGAAGCCTACAGGTCCTAAGATCATCTCCCTCCAGCGTTTCCTCACTCTGCCTGGACAATGCTTGGCCAAGGGCTAATCCATGCCACTGCCTGATTGAAATCCTGTCCCAGAAACTGACTGTTTCTGGGAAAAGGGTGCAGAAACCTCTAGAAGAGATTTTGGCATCCTCAAGAACCTCTCATACCCATAGCGGAATGGGGAACTGTGGGGAGGAGGGCGCACGGGCTTAGTGGATAGGGCAGCCCGGAGCCAGCCAGGCAGTTTTATTGAAATATTTTTAAATAATTTGCACGTGTTAGTCTCGTGTGTCAGCAATGCCGTGTCTGGTTCAGTGATCCCCATTGGAGAGCAAGCCCAGGGGTTGGATAGGAAATGTTCTGTCCCTCGAGTCCATGCGGAGGTTCCCCTATATAGGGAGAGAGCCGGTCAGCCCATCTGGGGGTGGCACTGTCCAGCATGTGTCCTCACAGGGCACCCTGAAGGCCAAAGTTGGAGGCCTGAGACCACAGGCCCCACTGCTAAGAGCGTGCCCCAGGCAGCTGCAGGCTGGGTGTGGGTGGCTTGGCATGATGACCTCGGTGGCAGAGGAGACTGCCCGCCTCACAGTTCAGGTTGCGGTAGCGGGCAACAGCTGGTGTGGGGCGGGGGCACATGGATAGGAAGCCAAAGCTGAATGGGCCAAGGCAGCAGCCAGGGCAGGGCAGTCCCTCATCGGACTCCCGGGGAACTGAAGGGGGCGGCGAGGGTTCTGTCCTCTCCAGGGCTGCCGCCCGGGGCAGGCTATGCTGGGCCCGGTTCCAGGGCTCCCCGGCCCAGCCTTGTGGAGAGTTCACCACCACAGCTGGGGGGTTGTTGTTAAGGGGAGGTCCTGATCTAGGGGACCAGGGCTGGGAGGCCGAGGAACAAGTGCTGATGAAGTTGTCTGTGGCCACGGCCAAGGGCAGCTGGGGAGCTGGTCCTGGAGGTTCTGGCTCAGGGCTACTGCCCTCACACTCCATTTTCTCCTCAGCCGAGGTGCCCACAGCAGGAGGGCCAGGCCCCGGCAACGCTGTCTCCATACGTCGGGGGAGTTCCGGGGATGATGGTAGTGAGCGGCAGCGACGAGCAGGTGTCCCAGGGTGGACCAGGATCTCTGGAGTAGTCGCCAAGGGCAGCTGGGTAGAGGGCAGTGGTGACGGTGGTACAAGGGGCAGGGGGGCGACTGGCTTGCTGGGTGTGTCCAGGAGCTTGATCTTGCCACCCCTGAGGTCTTCCCGTAGTGAGAAGGGGTTGACGCGAGTCAGATTGTCCCCCCAGTTGGGGGGTGATTCTGGTGATGGGGGCAGGAAGAGGTCTGACCGGCTTCGGGAGAGCCGGGGGTCTGGCCTGGGAAGCGTGGCAGAGGGACCCCCTCTTGGAAAAGACCCTGTAGACAGAGAAGTCTATGATCACTGTTCTCAGCATTGATAGCTTCTTGTTGCCTCATTATTCACCAGGAGGCTGGTGGGACTAGAGCTTAGAAAAGGGAGTCTCACAGGGTCCTTTGGAAAGGGGGAGATGTCACCTCCAGTTCCCTTTTACTTCTTCCTTCAGGCTCTAGAATTAGAAAACTATTTTCTTTAAGATGTCCTTTCACCCCATCCCACTCTCAGCCTTCTCAACTAATAAATATACTTAGTCTCCTCCAGGTAACTCCCTGAATTCTAAGGAGGAGTGAGGCAAAAGGACTCCAGTTGGGTCAAGGTCATGGTCGCTTACCCTGATTGTGTATCAGGGGAGCCCTGGTGAGGGGGGCTGGCTCAGGCAGCTGCTCCAGGATCCATTCCAAGTGTTGGGTGATTTCGGTGAAGGGAGCACGAGCGCTGGGTTCCATCTGATGGGTAGGGATGGGGCAACTTGACTTAGTGCTCCGAAAGGGGATCCCTGAGTTTTCCTCCCATCACCTGGGACAGGACAGCCTTGTCAGCTGATGGAGGGGGCAGAGGGCAGGGAGGGTGAGGCTCTTACACTGCAGCAATGGATGGCCAGGAGCAGGAACGGCAGTGGGCAGTCATCTCCTACCAGGGTCCGGAAAGCAGGCACATCCAGGCCAAAGTCCTGTGGGGACAGAGAGGAGGGGTCTCCTAGTCAGCCTTCCTTGGGTTCTCCTGCCCCCTCATCAGGACCTCAACCTCCAGGGAACCCTCCTTGGTTATGAGCTGCCCAGCCTGGAGCTCCTCCTTTTCAAACCTGGAGACATCATTCACCTCAGTACGGGGTAGGTAGTCAGGGTCTGCAGGTACCCGTGCGATGAGCTCACAGAGGACAATCCCAAAGGCAAAGACATCAGCCTGGGGGTAGGAGATAATGTCAGGGGGAGGAATTGAATCAGAATGTGTCAGAATTCAGAGGGGAGTCTTGACAGTCTTCATGTGTTGGAGGAGTGCCTGTGAGAGGCAAGGGGGGTCTTGGGGGCGTCCGAAATATCTGGTAGGGTTGTTGAGGAACTTGAGATGGGGCCTTCCAGGGTTTCTGGAAGGCCTTCAGGATCTGAAGGGTTGATATCTTACCTTCTCGTCATACAGCTCACCCCGCAACACTTCTGGAGCCATCCAGTACGGGGAACCCACCACAGCCAATGGCTCCTTCCTTGCCCCTTCCCTGTAGGGCAGGGGCAGAGTGGTGAGAAACACCCCACTTAGACATCCCCCCAAAACAGAAGAGGATAAGGTGAGCCCCCTCCCCACCCTAAGGGAAATGTCCCTGGGGGCTTTATTTAGACAGGGGTCTTCTGGGAGGTTTAGGGGAGCAGGGGTGTTTACCTCACCTATACACAGGAATCTTTTCAGCCAGCCCGAAGTCACCCACAACAGCTGTGAAGCCTTGGTCTTCCCGTCGGATCAGACAGTTCTGACACACATATAGCATCCCACACACCCATCACGTTCTGCTCTTTGATCTCCCAGTCTACACCCAAAGCTCTGTCACTCCAGAATAACCCCAAGCCTCTCTGATCTCCCAATTCTTCAGTGCACCCCAATCTTGCAGCATCATCTGTCACTCCAAAACACAGTGTGGTGTACTCAGTCCCTCGGCGCACGCCCCATCAACCCAGTCCCCCATTCTCCAATGCCTTGCTACTCTAACATCCTAACATATGTATTCTTCACATTCCAGCATCCATGGGCTGGTGACAACCTAATAGTCTCAAACCCCCCTTCATGCCTCCACCCATCGGCCAGCCTACCTTGGATGTGAGGTCTCGGTGGAATACACCTTTGGCATGCAGGTAGCGTAGGCCGTGGGCAATGTCCAGAGCCAGGCGGAGCCTGACAGGCCAGGATAAGGGTTCGGGGGAGCTGAGAAGCTGTTCCAAGGTCCCCCCATTCATGTACTAGGACATAGGGGGAGGAGAAGGGGAATGAATGTCAAGGTTTCAGTCTGTACTCTAGTCTCCCGCTTATAAGCCAGGGGACACTCAGGATCACAAAGGTCAGAAGCATGAGCCTGTGCTCTAGGGTCCCCCATTCGTATTCTAGGACTGTTCTGTCCTGTACATGTATAGCTATTTATGTTTAAATTACTAAGTTTAAATAAAATTAAACATTGGGTTCCTCAGTCACACCAGTCATATTTCCAGTACTCCCTAGCCACATGTGGCTACAGTTTTGGACATCACAGATACAGAACATTTTCATCGCTGCAGGAAGTTCTGTTGGACAGCAATGTTCTAGAGCAGCGCTTCTCAACCTGTGGGTCGCAACCCCTTTAGGGGTTGAACGACCCTTTCACAGGGGTCGCCTAAGACCATTGGAAAACAAAAAGATATTTACATTACGATTCATAACAGTAGCAAAATTATAGTTATAGAGTAGCAACGAAAATAATTTTATGGTTGGGGGTCACCACACCATGAGGAACTGTATTAAGGGGTCGCGGCATTAGCAAGGTTGAGAACCGCTGTTCTAGAGGATATAGAGGCCCTTTATTTGTGGTTTGCCCAAAAGGAAGTTCAGGGAAAGAGGTCCTGCTGCCTCTCACTATTCCTCTGTAGAAGAACCAGGCCCTGACTCTCCTCTTGGTGGTGGTGGGGTCCTCCCTTCCTGGCCCATCCTCACCTCCGTAAGAGCGTGCAGCTGCCCCTGGTGCACACAGACCCCCATGAACCTGGAAGAGGGGAGGGAGGATAGGAGGGTAGGCTTTAAGAGCCCTGCCCCCTTTCCCCCCACCGCAGTTCCCACTTTTCCAGCGGGATCTTTCCCCTCCCCGCAGCAAGCTTCCCAGCAAGCAGCTGGGGCCCACTCACCTGAGGATGTTGGGGTGCCGGAGCTGGTTCATCAGCTGCACCTCCCGTAGCGTGTTTCCCCGGTTACTGGGGAGCCTGTTCATTTTCAGCACCATGACTTGCCCTGACTGTCGGTGCCGAACCTGGGGGCAGCAGAGGCCGACGAGTCCCGGGTAGGTTGGGCAGGTCTCCCGGAATCCTGTCCCCTAGCTCCAGCCTCCCGTCTAAGGCTCGGTCCCGCCCCTCTGCCCTCTCTGCTGGTCTTACCTTGTAGACCTCAGAGAAGAAGCCGGCCCCGATCTTCTCGGCGCAGTGGAAATCGTCCACGCGCGCAAGGCTGGACACGGCGCTGCGGAGCGCCCGGTAGGAGGAGGGGCGGCCCCGGCCCGGGCCTGCACCCGCGCCCCCCGGCCCCGGGGGCCCCTCCCCCGGCGCCTCTCCCGGCCCGGGTCCAGGGCCCCGCAGTGGGGGCCTTTCCCCGGCCATGGCCGGGCCCCCAGCCCGGGCCTGCCTCACATGGCAGGGTCCCCGGGGCCCGGGCAGGCCGCGCTAGCCATGGGCGCGGGCCCAGCCCGATCCGGGGCGCCCGGGCTCCCGCTCCCGCCTTAGAGAATGGAAGATCCGCTGAAGATTCTGGGCCCGCCCCCGCCGCGCCGGCTTGCTGGGCCCGGGTGGACGGCGCTCCGCTCCGCTCTGCGCAGGGCCTGGGCCTGGGCCGGGCAGTGGCGGTGGCGCTCCCGGGCGCCGGCGGGCAGGAGGGCTCCCCGCAGGCGGAGGCGGG